GCATGTGGTGCTGGGGGATTGAACCGTGGTCCCTATGCTTTGCTAAGCTTGTTCTAAGTAGGTGCTTTAGACCACTGAGCCATCTCACCAGCCCCGTAAGATGGAATCTTAGCATTGTTTTAATTTGCATCTTTTGACTGACCAGTGATGCTGAACATTTTTTAATATATTTATTTGCTTTTATTTCTTCAACTGAGAAGTGTGCATTCATCTCAGGTGCCCAGTTTTGGATTGGGTCTTTAATTTTTGGGAGGTCCAATTTTCTTCTTTAAGTTCTTTATATATTCTCAATAGTAATCCTTTGTCTGAGGAACAGATGGCAAACATTTTTTCCCACATTGTAGGTTGTCTCTTCAAGCTTTTGATGGTTTCTTTTGCTGTGTAAAAGCTTTTTAATAAGATGAGATCCTAATTGATTCTTTGTGATAGTTCCAGTGTGATCAGGGTTTTCTTCATAAAGTCTTTGCCTACACCCATGGCTTCAAGAGTTTTACCTATTCTGTCTTCCAGAAAATTTAATGTTTCTGTTTTAGTATTTAGATCTTTGACCCACTTTGACTTTAGTATAATGAATAAAGGGACAGGCCCAATTTTAATCTTTGCATGTGCAAAGCCAGTTTTCCAGCACCATTATTACTTTATTACTTTTTTTTTTCAGTACCAGGGATTGAACTCAGGACCCTGTACTTGCCAGGCAAGTGCTTATTCTACAGAGCTATCTCCCTGGCCCAATAATACGAAGGGACTTTTTCTCTTTTTTTTTGGTGGAACCGGGGATTGAACTCAGGCCCTTGCGCTTGCTAGGGAAGCACTTATTCCACTGAGCCATCTCCCTGGCCCTTTTTTGTCTTTTTGAGACAGGATCTCGCTATGTGCTCAGGCTGGCCTTGTGCTCACTTTGTAGGCCAGGCAAGTCTTGAACTTGCAATGATCCTCCTCCTTTAACCTCTTGAGTGCTGGCATTACAGGCATATGCCACCATGCCTGGCTCCATTTCTTTCTTATGTTGAACATTCATGGTTTCCATCATTTTCCTAAGTGCCTCTATTGTTTTTTATCTGTATGTACTCTAGAGTTACTAAACATGGTTTTCATTGAGGTCATCATCTCTGTATTTATCTGAGAAATTATTTCTTCTTTTGGGGGGGGGCAGGACCAGGGATTGAACTGAGCAATTATATCTGAATAGATTTTTTTATAGTGTCTTCCTCATTTGATTTGTTATTACCACTTTAGAGAGGCTACGTGGATGGCTTTTGTATTGTCCCACCTCACTGTCCCTTGGGTTTGCCTTTGGTGAGCTGGATGTCGGGAGTTGCACCTTCTTTAAGTGTCTTTTTTTTTTTTAGTTTAATTCCTGGGTTGATGCTCATAAATTGCCTATGGTGAGTTGCTTTACTGATAGTATTTAGAACCCTCAGGAAGAGGGCTGGCCAAATAGCTCAGCAGATTAAAGCATCTGCAAGCAGGCACAAGGGCTGGGGGTTCAATCCCTGGGCCTACTGTGCCAGCCCTGCCTCTGGGGTGCGCTGAGAGTGCAATTGAGACTGGGTGTGGTGGCATGCACCTGTAATCCCAGCTCTTGGAAGGTTGTAAACAGGCAGATCACTACTAATCTGATCTCTAGTAGTGAGACCCTGAACATCCTGTAGACCCTTCCCTAAAAAAAAAAT